GACGCAGGGAGCGGTGCTGGCAGCTGCCCAACTCCCTCTACATCAGCTGATCCAAATCTGGGAGGAACAGCCGCCACCTCCCGAGCCAAGCCGGGGTGCACGGTGCTGCTCTGGAACCTTTGCGGTGAGCTGCGTCGGCAGAGGACTAACCCCTGGAAAACAAAAGATGATGGCTTTTCTGCCAGATCAGCTCCTGGATCTGGTTTGCTGAGCAGCTGCGTATCATGTTGTACTGGCACAACAGAGGATATGAGCGAGTGCCGAGGAGTTGGGATTGCTTAGACCACTTCGAACAGCCCTGGCACCAAAAAAAGTGCCACCACGGCCACACAGATGACCCTGAGCTAGTAGGACTCCAGTTATCTGCAGAGCTTTTGTGGGTCCAAGCCTGGGACAAGTCTTTACTGAATTGCCTCACTGGGACAGACTTTGATGAGTGCTAGCTGTGCTCTAGCAGGAGGGCTCGGGGAGCGTCACTTGTCCTTTTACACAATATTTGAATGCAGTTGCACTTCCCTGAGAACTAAGGAGGGGGGGAGTTGGCTTCTCTCCCATTCCAGTTTATCCCGAGCCCATAACATTTTCACTCCCTGAAGCATTTTAGTTTCTTTGTGCATTTCTTGGTTGTTGTGGTGCCGGTTGTTGTGGTGCCTGTTGTGGCGGTTTTAGTGGCCTGTGCCCCCCTGGACAGCATTCACAGCGAGGTGCATCCACAGCAGCGCTGCAGGGGGCTGCGTAATAGCATCGCTCCTCTCCTGTCCCTTCACCCGAGCGTGCACGCGCTGCCTGGCCAGCACTACAGGGTCTTGCAGAGCTGCTGCACTCTCCGCACAAACCCTCTCCCCCCCACCCCAGGCAATCCATCCGCATAATCTTCGGGATGCTCCCAGGCTGGGCTACACTTATCCTCTTGGCGCTGGTTTTCCTCTCCCTCCCCAGCCAGCAGGATCCCTCTGGAGCGAGCCGCTCGCTGCGACCATGACTGTTGTGAAACTGTTCAACTTCCTCCGGGAGCGGCAGCCCTTGCCTGTCAGCCTGTGCCTGGCGCTCGCAACGCCTCCAGCACTCACAGCCCCGCTTCCTTCTCCCTGACGTGCGCACATGCACGCTCCTGCACGCACATCCCGG